ACCCCAAGGCTGAGACCCACCCTCACCCCAGCGCACACCTCGCCTCAGCAGTGGGTGCAGGCGCAGAGCTGGCCTCAGCCAGGGCTCTGTGCGCCCCCACAGCAGCGCCAGGCAGTCATCTCAGGTCGCCGACGGCCGAGCCCGGCGACTTGCCTTCAACCGAGCAGCTTTTACTGAGCAGATGGAGTGAGCCTGTGAGCCGGCGCCTCCCGGGGCTGTCTCAGGCCTTCGCTGTCGCGCTGTGACCCAGAGCTCCGTGGCCCTGCGACTCTTGCTTTGTCGGCCTGTGTGACCAGGCGTGTCCCTACGGAACCTTGACTGTGAGGTCCACTACCCCTCGTTGTGCAGCCTCCATGTGTTCTTCATCTGAACAGACGACAGTACACGCTTAGACGTACCAGCTTAGTCCCGCTGTCCGCCCGCCATCTTGGTTTTCCGTTGGACCTTCTGATCTGATGTCTCTCCTCTCGTCTGCGGACCCCCGTGCCCACCTGCACGGTCTCCAGCTCCTCTGTCTGTGCTCAGCCTGGAGACTGGACTCTCCCGACGCGTGGCAGGCTGAAGGGTCACCTGGGTTGTGGCATTGGCATGCTGCCACCTGACCCGTCTTGTGGCTTCTCTGGACTCGGGTCTCCAGCTGCACAGGACCCTGCTTGGTGCTGGCTGCCCTGGCCGCCAGGCCCTCTCAGCCTCCCTGCGTCCCTCTCAGTGGCCTGTCTCTCCCAACGCACTGGTGTTCTCTTGTGGATACTTGTGTCCCTTGTGGACACTTGTCCCCCATAAGGTCCTCTTCCTCCCCTTCCCTCCCCGCTCAGGGCCCCAGCGGGAGCACTCTCAGGCACGCAGTGCCACACGGCCTGGCCTCCAGGTGGGCCTCGCAGGTACACAGGCCGTGCTGTGGCCGGTGCCTCCTGCCTTCTCGCGTGCCTAGGCTGAGTCCAGTGCCAGCCTTCTGTGTCAAATGTGCCCTGCCATTCCCTTCGTGCACACGTCAGCCTGGCCACTGCCTCGCTGTGGTGGCAAGGCCATAGCAGCTGTCCTCGGGGCTCAGGCTCAGGGTCTGGGGAAGTGGCACAGAGCATCTTCCTGTGGGAACCCAGCACAGGAAGTGTCTCCTGCCACCTGTTTTTGTCCTCCAGAGGCCCGGGGTGACGGGGAGATGGGGCTGGACAGCCTGACACGGTGTGTCTCTCCTGCAGCCCAGTGCCTGTTGAACCAGTCCTGAGAGCCCTTGGGGCTGTGCCGTGGGGAGGAGCTGCCCATGGCACGTTGCTGCCCATCCACCGAGGGACGGCACCTGGGTCGCTGAAGCCGTCACCAGATGTGCTCTTCACGTGCGGCTGTGCCGGTGGCCTGGCTGCCTGCTTCTGCCTCCATGGAACAAGCCTGCTTCCCATAAAATCATGTACCAAGCCACTCCCCGTCTGTCTGTCTGTCTCTGGAAACGGGGGTTGTGGCTCCACCCACAGGGGCTCCCATGCACTCTGGAGTCGGGGGCTGTGGCTGTGGCTGCGGCTGCACCCCAGAGGCTCTGTGCACTCTGGAGACGGGCTGTGGCTGTGGCTGCACCCCAGAGGCTCCGTGCACTCTGGAGACGGGGGCTGTGGCTGTGGCTGTGGCTGTGGCTGCACCTGCACCCCAGAGGCTCCATGCACTCTGGAGTCGGGGGCTGTGGCTGCACCCCAGAGGCTCCGTGCACTCTGGAGACGGGGGCTGTGGC